GAAAATATCTGAATAAATACTACTCAAGAGAGACTACAGGGATGAAAATGTAGTTCAGTTGGTAGAACACTCAACTAGTATGTACAAAGCCCTGGATTCAATCCGAGGCATCATAAACAAACCAAACAGCAGCAGAAGCAGAAGAGAAGAACTGGCGGGGGGGCATACAAATAGAATATAAAAAAGATGTTCAACATCACTAATGCTTGAGTACATACAAATAAAAAATACAATGAGACACCATCTACAATGGTTTGGATGTGAATGGCCCCCATGCACTTATATATTTGATTTTTTTTTTTGAGACAGGGTTTCTATGTGTAGCTTTTGTTCCTGTCCTGGATCTCACTCTGTAGACCAGGCTGGCCTCAAACTCACAGAGATCCACCTGGCTCTGCCTCCCAAGTGCTGGGATTAAATGCATGTGCCACTATCACCTGGCCACTTAAATATTTTGAATGCTTGGTACACAGTTGGTGGCTCTATTTGGGAAGGATTAGGAGGTGTGGCCTTGTTAAGGGAGGTGTGTCACTGTGGGCAGGCTTTGAGGTTTCCAAAGCCCACATCATTCCCAGTTAGTGCTCTCTGCCTCATGCTTGTGGATTGAGATTGAGCTCTTAGCCACTTGCTCCAGTGCCATGCCTGCCTGTTGTCATGCTCTCTGTCATGATGGTCATGGACTCTCACTTTCTGGAACTATGAACCCCAAATGAAACACGTTCTTTTATAAGTTTCTTTGGTCATGGTGTTTTGTCACAGCAATTGGAAAGTAAGTAAGACACTATCTTACCTCAGTTATAATGTGTTTAATTAAAAAGAAAAAACAAAATAAAAACCCAAACAACAATGAGAAAGACTAGCAAAGCAGCAAAGTGGGAGAAAGGAGAGTTCTTAGTGTGTTGGTGAGAATGGAAGTCAGCATATCCACTGCGATTTTAATATTGCAACCACGCCGACTTAATAGACTTGTACGGGAAAGTATTCCTTCCTCTTCATTTCTAGAAGAGTGTGAGTAGTTTTTGGTGTCATTTACCATGTTTTGTAGCACTCGCTAGTGAAATTATCTGGGCCTAGAATTTTCTCTGTGGAAAAGTGTGTGCATGTGTGTGTGCACACACACACACACACACACTGGGGTGGTGGTGGTGATGCATACATGTGGGTGAGTAGCTGTGCACATACATAAAGCCAGAGCAGGATGCTGGGTGTATTCCTCTGTCACTCTCTGAATTATTGACTTGAAACAGGATCTTAATTGAGCAAGAAGCTTTTCTTCTTCTTCTTCTTCTTCTTCTTCTTCTTCTTCTTCTTCTTCTTCTTCTTCTTCTTCTTCTTCTTCTTCTCCTTCTCTTCCTCCTCCTCCTCCTCCTCCTCCTCCTTCTTTTTTTTTTTTTTGTTTTTGGAGACAGGATTTCTTTGTGTAGTTTTGGTGCTTGTCCTGGAGCTTGCTCTGTAGACTAGGCTGGCCTTGAACTCACAGAGATCCACCTGGCTCTGCCTCCCAAGTGCTGGGATTAAAGGTGTGTGCCACCACCGCCTGGCTGGAGGCTTGTCTTCTTGTCTAGGTTGGCAGACACCTGCCTATCTGGCATTACAGTCATGCACAGCCATTCGTGTGGGTGCTGGGATTTGAACTCAGGTGCTCATGCCTGCAGAGCAAGCATCTCACCAGCCCCTTGTAGGGAGATTTTAAAAGATAAATTCATATCTGTGTAAGGTCTAGGACTACTCAGGTCATCTATTTCCTGTATAAAGAGCATTGTTGGCTTGATCTCTTATTTATGTCATCAAATTGGTTTGCATGAAGTTGTTCACAGTAAACGCACAGATTTTGTTCATGTGTATAAATCATCTGGGGATTGTTGTTGCATTTGTTCTTACTATTGGTGTTTTGTTTCTTTCTCTTTTAAAAAAGGTTGATTTATTTTATATATAAATAACTAATTTATATTATATATAATTGCTTGCCTGATTGAGTGAATACATATGCACCTTGCACATGCAGTGCCTCAGGAGTCCAGAAGAGGGCATCAGAACCCCTGGCACTGGAGTTGCAGACAGTTGTCAGTTACAGCGTGGAAGCTGGGGAACTAAACCAGGTCCTCTGTGGCTCCAGTTCTCCTCTCCAGATGTTTATCAACATTATTCATCTTCAAGAACAGGTTATTCGTTTTGCTGATTACCTCTACTTCCTTTCCATTCACTTTGTTATTTTCTATTCTGGTTTGCATTATTCCATCTCTTCATCATACTGGTTCCTAAGCTCACAGTCAATGCCACTGATTAGAGACATTTGCTCTTTCCAGGATTGGAGTCTGGTGCCTAGCATCCTTCCTATCTGCTGGTTTAGTGGCTCCCTTCAAAGTCTCAACTTTTGATTCTTTTCATTGATACAGTTCCCTTCTGTCTATGCAGGGCTTTTTTTCCTCTGGCTATAGGCAGCTTCAACTCTGAAAATGCTAATTAGGATTGAGAATTCTTGGCTTTCCACACATTCCACTCTGTCCCGAGTGCTCTGCTTTCCTTAATTTCCCTTGACTCTGAGTTTCGTCTCCTAAATTAAGGAGTTAGACTTTGTCATAGCCTCCCTTTTGTTGTCTGACGCCAGTTTTTTCTTAAAAAAAAAAAAGTTGTTTCATATATGTGTGTGTACCTTTAAAGTTTCACTCTCACAAACATACATGGCATACAGTCACACACACACAAACACACACACACAGTTAGTTAATTAGTTGTTTGATTGGGAGAGTGATCCTCAGTCAGAAACAGAAGTTGGCAGCAGACTTTTTACAACCCAGTATTTGATGTTACAATCAATTTACGAGATTATCATAAGCACTATAAAACAAAATGTCAGAAAATAAAAAGTATTTTTGTTTTATGTAATTTTTCATGTATCAAGGGCAAGTTGTGTGTGTGTGTGTGAGTGTGTGTGTGTGTGTGTGGTGTGTGTGTGTGTGAGAGAGAGAGAGAGAGAGAGAGAGAGAGAGAGAGAGAGAGGAGAGAGAGAGACATTAAAGGTAGACCATTTGTATGTGTGTGCACTGGGTTGTGATGCACCTGGTATTCCTACCCTGGTTCACGATCAGAATGTCTGGAGAGATATTGTGGGACTACACCATGGTTGAGTGCAGGCGGAGGGCAGTGGGAGGGAGGATAATCTCTACTTCACATGGTCTACCTAAAAATGTTTATCATGTCCTCAAAAGCCAAGGTCTGGGGCGGGGGTCCTTGAAATGGTCTCTGTTTTACAGCTTTCAAGTCTCAAAATTGATATAGATCTTCAAGTCTATAAGCTAATAGATCTTCAAGTCTATAAGCTAATAAAGAGTTATCAATTATCCATGTGTCCTGATTGTCCATGGTATGGTTAAGTTACCAGTGTGAATGAAGGAGATGCCCTCCCTGACCCAGTGAAGGACGACACATCTGGTTACTAGAGGAGGCGAGAGTAAGGTTTTTAGAAGAAATACGGGAACTCAGAGAACAGGCCTGGAGGACGAGAGGAGCAATGTCCAGGAAGGCTTACACAGGTAGCTGGCCATGTTAGAGCTTAGGTGAGGCATGCTTCAAATTCAGTTTATTTTATTTTCCATTAAGCACACATTTTAACCACTGTGATCTGGAGCTAGGTCAATGAATAGAACTGATAACAATTCCTGCCTCTAAACAGTTTCCATAAATAATCAGTTTAAAGGACAAAGTACTATGGACAAAGACAGGGCACAAGAGACACCAGGCAGGAAGCCGGCTGCCCATTCTAATTTGAGTGGGATAGTCTTACACTCCCAATGTAACAGTAGCACATGCCCATTCTATGAATTCTGTGAATATTCCAACATTCATTAGACCCTTACTGTCTACAAACCACATTAAAACTGCCAATCTTAGATGTTGCATGAACACTGCAGTCACTACCACAGAAAAACCAGGAGGGAGAGTACTCAGGAGCCAGGAAGGTAATTACTCCTCCCTCTCCCCAGTGTTCCTAGGGATTTCTCCACCTAAGACACTGGCAATGGGGAGGAGAGATCGCTAGGTGAGAAACAACACTTGGTGCGGAGCCTGATCTGAGTTTGATCTCAGGACAGAACTGGCTTCCGCAAATTGTCCTGATTGGGCCATGGTCGGCTAGCCCACACACGCACAGTAAGTAAATATATATATATATATATATATATATATATATATATATATATATATATATTTACACACACATATATGTGTGTGTGTAACCAGAAAATTCTTCCTAAAAGAACGCTGATAGCACAAGACTGGGTTTCACTGTGTCTCCTGGACAAAGACCCTTTTGCCTTTGGCTTCTGTGCTTTGCCACGGCAGCAAAAGTCGCAGGCAGAACTGAGGAGTGACCCGAAGCTTGGCGGTGCAGTCTCCATGTGCAGTGCTCAGTGAAGGGATGAGGTTACTTACTGGCTTTTGCTCCAGGCTTCAGCCAGGCGTTTGAGCGCCATGGCATCTAGAAGAAAACCCTGCTAGATGGTTTTAATTTCCTAATGATGTTAAGGCTGTGCGGAGGCCCAAACATTTACCCTGCCTTCTCTGGTTTCTCCACCCTTCTCATTCCTGGCCTTTGCTGGCAAATAGGTGACCATTCTTATGTCTTGAACTGGACTCCGGCACATAGTCCTGTGTTGTGTGGAGGACTTCAGAGGCAGGAGTTTGGCTGGGTCGGGTAACAGGCACACTATCTGGGCAACAACGTGCACACTATCTGGACAGCAACGTGCACACAGCGCGGCAGCGGGTGCGCATCTGGTGCTGGAGCGCTCCTGCCGCGCAGTTCCTGGTGAGATGGTGGCATTGGGACCGTGGCATTGGGCTGATGCACTGGAGTGTGCTGGGCATCTTCTCCCCGCGTGGGGGCACCAGAGCCCTCGGAAGTGTCAGGCACTGCGGCGCATCTACCGGATTCTCTTTTAAATGACTGCGGATATGCGGGCGGTCAGAGCCGCAAATGGTGAGAAGAGGCTCAGACCAGGCCTGAGAACGGTCCATAGCGGTCATTTAATTGCACCCGCACAGCAGTTACGGTTTATCACTCAACCCTCTGGAATCGCCTCACGTGTCCCCAGTGAGACTCGAGGGCGCTGCCAGAGCCTGGCCTCTCGGTAGCTGGAAGCACATCCTGCTGGGGGCAGCTCGGGCGCAGGGTACACGTTCGCGCACATGCGCGCGCGCACATGAACACGCGCAAGGTACGGCAGGGCAGGGGACCAGGGTTTGGGTGCCCCGCGTGGGGGTGGGTGTCGTGGGTAGTGAAGCTGTGATTTTCGAATGGCGGCATCCTGCCAGGTTAAAGAATAAGAGATGACGCAGAGCCACCCACTCCACAGGCCAGGGTCGGTGCAGAGCATTTAGGGAACCCACTGCGCGGCAGGCGCTCTCCCTTCCCCACGCTGGGCTCTTCCTATGGCGCAAATGGCTGGAGAAAGGCCCATCAGAACTACACTTGTGTCTGCAGGCTGCGCTCTCTAGGCAGAAACCCCGTCAGGGAGAGCTTTGGAACCACCCACCCCTAAATAGGTAGTCCGGAACCGGGCAACGGTCCTTGGTTGCCAACGCACCTCATTATATATTTATTTTCGTGTGTGTGGGGGGGTGTAGCTTGCCTTCCCTATATTTTGGGAATAGCTTGCTTTCCTTTTTGAGCAGGGTGGGAAAGGAGAAAGCAGCGGGGAGGGAGAGGGAAAGGGAGGATTCCTACAATAAGAATCAGCGCATTTTTTCAGAGCCTAACCAAGCCCGGCTTCCATTTCAAAAAGGGGGAGCTAGCCTCTACTGCGGTATGGAAGAGATGTAAGAATTAGGGATCCAAGAAGCATCCAGCGGTGCAACGCTGCATTTCAGAGGTACCTGGGTCTAAAGGGACACACACGCACACGCACACACATGCACACCCGCACAACTACCCCGCCAAGGTGTGCGCGCGCGCGAGTGTGAACTCCCACATGCTGCTGTCTGCGCCTAGCCGCTGGCACCAAGCCTCCTCCTCCCTGCTCGCCCCCAGATTCCCTCCCCTCCGCCTTGCTTTTGTCTGGAGGGTGCTATGCTATGCTATGCGTGTGTGTGTGTGTGTGTGTGTGTGTGTGTGTGTGTGTGTGTGCGCGTGCGTGTGTGTTTTTGGATTTCATACTAATTTTCTGGAGTTTCTGCCCCTGCTCTGCGTCAGCCCTCACGTCACTTCGCCAGCAGTAGCAGAGGCGGCGGCGGCGGCGGCAGCGGGTTAGAGCCCAGTTGCTGCTGCTGCTGCTGCTGCTGCTGCTGTTGCTGCTGCGCTCTGCTCCCAGCGCTTGGGGTGGGAGGCCCGGTGAGCCTCACGGACAGTTCTCGGTGGCCTCGGCCGGCACGGTCCCCTTGCCGCAGTTGCTCCCCAGGTGGGACGTGCCGCGCCACCTGCCCGCCCCCCACCCCCACCCTGCGCCCAGCGGCCGGGGAGGATTCTGCAGCATCATTGGGGCCCCGTCGCCGCTGCAGCCTCCGAGTCCTCTTTAGAGGGTCCTTGGCTTGGCTGGGCCATGGGATCTGCTCTCAAAGACCCTTTTCTGACCTCTCCTGCCTCGGCCTCAGGCTTGGAGGGCGGGCGGGCACACTGGGGGGCCACTGTGGGGCAAGTTGATTCCGGGGCGGGAGCTGGGCACTCGGACATCCATTCTACAGGCTTGGGTCTGGTGGGGGTGAGGAGAGAGTGGAGGGACTGTGTCCCAGTTAGTGCTGTGTAGGCACTATGCTTAGTCTCATCCATGTCTGTTTGTCCTCAGCCCTGAGGTGCGCACCGATATCCGTGCCGGTTTAGCGGTTCTACGACCCAAAGAGTCCAGGGAGATCCACCGAGTGGTGCCTGGCGTGTAGGACCATGCAACCGCCCTGTGGCTCGGAGCCGCGGCCCGCGATGTCCCAGCCACAGTGAACCGTTTGGCCCGCGCGAACCTGCTCAGCCCAGACAGGCTCAGCCTCTGGTACGCTGCTCCACTCTACGGGAGGCCACTGGCACAGAACAGCAAGAGGGAGCAGGGAAGGCCTCCCCCCTCCGGCGGGGGACGCCAGGCTCAGCGTAGGGACACGCACTCCGACTGACTGGCACTGGCGGCGAGGGATGTCGCCCTGGCCGAGGTGGCATGGACCCGCCATGGCGCGGCTCTGGGGCTTCTGTTGGCTGGTTATGGGCTTCTGGAGGCCCTCTCTCGCCTGCCCCATGTCCTGCAAATGCAGTGCCTCTAGGATTTGGTGTACAGAGCCTTCTCCTGGCATCGTGGCATTTCCAAGGTTGGAACCTAACAGTGTCGATCCGGAGAACATCACCGAAATGTGAGTTCCTTGTACTTTTTCTTCTTCCTGTCCTCCACTTCAAGGCTTAGGCAGGTATATGCCCTGGATGGGGATGCCTTCCTGAGCATTGTGAGAAGTGAGACCAGAGGGGTGGCACCTGTCCCTTACCTGTCTGTTTTACTGGCTTAAGAGTGCCAGCTGGTGAAGAGTGACACTAAGATTTCATATGTAGAGAAATATAATCATATGTTCACCTATGTTCTTTTCCTGGGAACTCCACGTGCATTTTCATTTCAAAGTTCTGAAGGGTGTGTTTCAGGCTGTCCATATATGATAATTATAGTGGAACATTTTTGTTTGTTAAAATACGGTGTGTGTGTGTGTGTGTGTGTGTGTGTGTGTGTGTGTGTGTGTGTGATGTGAGAAGTTCCAGTAATATTTACCAGAAAGGAGGTTAAAATCACTGACTTTCAGAATTGGTTGAAGGAAGAAAGGGTCTCTCCCTTAACGTCTTTTCCTGAGGTTTGGAGGTGACCAGTTTCCCTTTTCATCGCCTCTATCGGATTTTGCTTGGGAGATTGCTTCCAGAAATGCTCTGAGAATGCTCTGTAAGAGGAGACGTTCTGAGTGTCGAAAAGCACTTGCTCAAACAGAAAATGTGATCGTGGGAACCTAAAAGCCTGGGATGATTTAATTTGGACTTGACTTCTCAGAGATATGATTTTGAGACCATTTGGATTATAAATCTTAATTGCCCGTTGACTAATTCTCTAGGACTGGACTGGATGGCAAAGCGGTGTGCACCCTAACGGATTGCAGCCTCAGCCTTGGACCTTCCTGTCCCTAGAAAGGTTCCAGCTTGTTCCAGCTTGATGGAGAAGCAGAGAAATGTATATTTCTTTCTGTTGGATGTCTTGTGACAAATTCACTACCAAGCAGGAATTCAACAGTCCTTTCTCCAGATTCCTAGGACACCTGTGTTGGAGGTCCTGTTGTTTCCTTTGCCAGAGATTTTGCCATTTTATGTCTCATGAACACAAGGTTTTATTCATCTGTGTAGAGGATTATAAAGCTAAGTTTCCTGGGTGATCGTCACAGTGTTTGAGATTGAGAAAGGCAGCCTTGAAAGTAGGGCTTGGGCTGTGGCCTTCCGGTTGGCGAGTGCGCATGCACCCCCTCCCCCCAACGTACAAGTGTTTTCTGCCAATGCGTCTGCCAGTGCCAAAGGCATTGATAACCTGTTTTGGTTTTTTAATGTAAGTAAGAGTTCTTTCTAATCTTGCTGTTCTGCTGGTGGTGGTTATGCTATAGGACTCGGGTAGAAGGAAATGATAGCCGAGCAGAGTGGAGTGTGCAGGCCTGCCATAGCTGAGCCGATCTTCCGTGAGCAGCTGAGTCCAGGGTGCCAGTTCCCAGTATTTTACAAGCAGCCCAGCAGCCCAGTGGGAGTGCAGGGTGGGTATGGCCCTGGCAAGGCCTGTCCAGGGCTGGGCTTGTCTGAAGAGTCTATGGCCTTTCTCAGAACCCTTGCCTTTTCGAAGGCCGGTGTCAGGCAGATGGCAGGGCCTTGTGGAACTCACAGCCTTCCTGGGGGTTGGAGACCAAGAAAGTGCATTGACACGATGGATACTGCAGCGTTTTTTGTTTTTTGTTTTTGTTTTTTGTTTGTTTGTTTTTAATTCAGTAAGAGACACTGAATGAAGAAAGAAATGAGACATAGTGCTCGATTCTCACTTCAGCTGTTATACTCTAACATTTTAAGACCAGCTTGAAAAGAAAAGAAAGTGTCCCTAAATCGACCGAGCATTGGGGCTGACTTTGCCGAGCTTTCTGCCTGGTGCACACACGAAACCAACAGTTTGGACGGAACATTCTGGGTTTGCTTTCTTCTGGATGATGTGACTTCTTTTCTACGTGAAGGCAGCTTCCTATTTAAACAAATATTTACTAAAGTCCCAGTCATTCATTCTATTGTGACACCCTAATTCCTAATCTGCTTTTATACTTCTTCCTCTGATTTGAAAATCCATTGATATTGAGGGAGCTGAGAACTGTTTATGGCTGAGTATTTAGGATGCAGGAGTTGGTTGGTGATATCTATCAGGTCTGGAAGAAGGTACTTTTGTATACTTAGCCCCTCCATGGTGCTTGATCCTATCTATCGGGCATTGAGCATCTTTATCTGTAAAATGTATTGCAATGCTTCTTTGGAAAGCACCAATTATTTTGAACTCAAAATAATATCAATAGTTGAGTTAGTTTCACTCTCAGCCTAATATGACCCATCTGTGCTCCTTTTCCTACATGATAACATTTGTTTGAACAACTTGGCTAGAGGACACAAGCTAAAGTTGGAACTAAATTCCATGTTTTAAAAAAACTTTGTTATTTGGTCCAGTGCTATCCCTAATTGCAGTCCGGGCTAGCATTGAAAGATATAGTGTCTTTTAATGTCTGTATTTTCAACTATGGTGTGTGTCCCTTAGGGTGCATAGGGAGAAGTGTTAGAATATTTTGAAAATAAATGCATAGTTAGCTAACAGGTAGGATACTGTGTTTGCACAGAGTTGAAGTCAACTTGACACTATGATGTCAGAGTCATTGTTTGAATGTATTTTATTAGAAATCTTGGTGTCACCGCATGTCTTACATTCTTTATTGGCTGATCTGATCTGTTTAGATCTGCATTTCTCTGTGAAGATCTCAAATGCATGCTTAACATCCCATTGCTACATGGCAGCTACTGACGTTTGTAAATGGTTAATGCCATAGTAGCGCTAAATTAACTTTTAAAACAGTGCTAATGTCACATGTAAGTGCAACATCATTGGGATTATGTCCATTTAGGTTCCCATTGTGTCAAATGCCAAGGTGCACTGCAAAGGGTAATGTTAAATCTCACCCAAGTGTCAGGTAAAAGGCATAGTTAAGTTTGCCATCTTAATTTTTGGTTAAAACAGATTTACCATGGTAAGTCTTTTTCAATGTCCAGGTCTGCAGCATTCTGTAGCCTACATTATGGAAGCCGTGCATTCTAAAATTGCGTATGTTTATGAAGGCCAATAGGGATCTTTCTCTGAACTTCTTGGGTGGTATTCTCTGAATTGAGGGCAATGATTGGAACCAAGTCTAATATTTATTTCTCTTAGCACAACATAAATAGAATCCACAGCTTCTATTGCCAGAGCGTCTATGTGCATTTTATCATTGCCTGGTTAAGTACGGTAATGCCGTGCCATTAATACATTGATTTTGGCCCTGGCACCTTAATAAGCTTTGCTGTTGCAATTAATTGTGTTTAAAACATCCTGGCATTCACAAAGATTCAGCCAAAGGCATCAGTGTGATACTCACTCCACAGCACCTCCATCGGTGGCTCTAGAACTTTGGGCTGCAGTTTTTCTGTACTTAAGAGTCATGACTTTCATCTAGGGTGTGCTTGCACAAGTCACACTGGGCTTATTAACAGCTGCAGTGTTCTTCATTTTCTAATACAGCTTGCAAGCTGGAGGTACAACCTTGCTGTCCACATAGTGGAGGTGTGTACATACCTCAGCTCAGGATAACCGTTTGGAGTCCTTTACTTTCATACCTTCAGTCTCATTCTGTTGTGCTGGGGAAAACAATGAAAAAGCCCTGCGACCCTTCTGACCCTGCTCTCTCCCACCTCCCATCATTGAATGTACAGGAAAATGTGTTTGATTTTCTTCTTCTCTGAAAAGTGATACTTCCTTATGGGAATTCAGAGTGCTCAGAGTTAAGAGAAGAGCTGGGTTATATATTGTTACAAGCAGGCGGTGGGAGGTTGGAGCAATGTGGTCATAGCTCCCTCGTGCTGCATGTAGGTCTGTTTAAGGCCGTTCACTGCTTCCATCTCATGAACCATTTGTTGTATCTCTTTCACTATTCCCTGGTAAAGTTGTTGACAAAGGCGAAGAGTTGGCTCAGCAGCTGATGGTCAAGGCCTCTTTCCCCTTAGGGACAGTCCATATGATCTCTGAGATCTCTGACTACATCTAGGTTATTGAAGGATAAAACCTAGAGTTTTTGTTTAGCTGGAGAAGAAAAATTGAATTTCTCCTTGTCTCATTAATATTTTTTTGCATTAAGTAGCAAGTCATTTTCCCTGATTTGAACTTATTGCTTATTAAGGAGAGAAACATTATCAAGCCATTACTGGAGACCATACGCTGCCATCATCTTTAGGCTATGTTGGCTCTTCTTCATCTCCGGAATGTTCCTTGTAGGTTCAAAAGTCATGGAGTAGAATATGGCATTGTATCTGGCAGCTCATTGAGCAATGTTAGTATCTAGTGCCTCTTGATTACTATAAGTCAGTAAGGGGATACAGGAGAGAGATTATTTATGGATGGCAAAATTTTTGTTTGGTGTGTATGTGCATGTGTGTATGTGGGGGGGGAGAGAAATAGAAAGGCAGGGGAGAGAGAGAGAGAGAGAGAGAGAGAGAGAGAGAGAGAGAGAGAGAGCACAAAAGAGCCTAGAATCATAGATTACTAATAGTTGCTCGGTCATTTTTCATGATCTACTTTGTCAAGCTATTTTAAAATACAAATCTCACCTTTCTGCCCAAATGGCAGAGCTCTGAGCTCTGCGCACTGAAGCAGCATGATAATTTTAGCCCCACATTTGATTGCTGGTCGATCTCCATTAAAGAGGCAAAGACCCCACACCATCAGGATCCCCCACCACTTACTTCACTCTCTGGAGTGTCCAAGAGATTGGGAAATCATAAATATTGATCTGGAGATGAGTGCATGAATATTCCTGAAGTTATCACATCTCTCCAAAGACAGACAGCATGCAGAAACTAAGTCCTTTCTTCAGGTGTTTCAAAACCAGTCCGTCATGGAGACAGGGAGCTGTGACTTTTGAGATCCCACCCCAGACACTACTAACTGGTTCCTTGGTCTCGAGGACTCTGGCCTCCATGTAAGCAGAGAGTTGTGGTTTTAATGCTCAGACAGTTTCTCCTGGCTTTGCAGCTTCAGCTGGGGGGGGGGGGGGGGCTACAGTCCTGG